GAAGGATTGACCGTTACATTATAACGCCCCACGCCGTGACGGGGATTCGAACCCGCGACCTGCAGATTGCGAGTCGAGCGCGCTAACCATCTTTTTTTAAAATTTTACTAAACTCATTTGAAAATATTTTCAGAGTTTATCAGAAAATCAACCATTTCTAAATTTTCTAATATTACTGCAGTAGTAACATTGTTTTTGTTTGTATTTATGTACAAAGCTACTCATTGGGCTATCTGTACTCTTCCCACCACGGGTATCGAAACCCGGTTTCTAGCGTTGTAAGTCCGCAGACATACCGCTGTGCCACTGGGTATTTTCTTAATGTGCTGTGATAATTATATATTAAACGAATATAAATATATGTTATAAAAAATATGTTTATGTTACATAAAAATATATGTTATACTAATTCAAAAAAAAACCATTATAAATTATTGTGATTTATACATTATTATATTATAATCTGATTATTCAAAATATGGTTTGATTATTATAGATAACGTTGTTTTATATAAAAGAAAAGGTAACATAAACGAGATATATTTTGTATTTCTTCCTCGCTGTTAGATTAGATATATAGTAATTAACGGCCACGTCTGCGGCCCAGACATATTGATATTATGATCTATTGTTGCACTATTTAAATTCATTCCTAATGTTTTTATATGTTTTATTTACAATAGTTATCAAAACAACATCTTGTGTGTGTGTGTTTGGCATGTGACAAACCGTGAAGTAGACAAACAATGAAATGTTGACATATGAATGTATATTTTTGTTGTGATAAGTTGTGTATTTGTAAAAGGTTATGAGGTTAGTTAATTATAAAAGGTTATGAGGTTAATTAATTATAAAAAGTTATGAGGTTAGTTAATTATAAAAAGTTATGAGGTTAGTTAATTATAAAAAGTTATTAGGTTAATTAATTATAAAAGGTTATGAGGTTAGTTAATTATAAAAGGTTATGAGGTTAGTTAATTATCACTTATTACTGATTTAGGTCTATCTGTTTATAAGTATGAAGATCTAACTGTTTCAATATTTCCTTAAAACTTAAAATACATGTGATTTATTTTTAGGGAATTATCTAGATATATCGTTTATTTATAAATGTGTATAACAGTTCAATCATATCAAAAATATTTTAATTATTCTTTAAATCTGAAAATAAAATCTACCTGTTTGTATTTTTATTTTTTAAATTGTACTCGTTATAATCTCCAGCCAGCTTTGTTCGTTCTCCGAGAACCCCATGCAAGGCAAAATTAATTGATAAATATTTTGTTCCAGATTTAAACAGAGACAGAATTGGAGTGTGCGAGAAACTTCATCCATGAGTTAAGTTTAAAACATTACGTTTGATGAAAAATGTCATTAAAAACGTTTATTATTCCAGGTCTCATTCCTTTGTGTTTAGACAATAATTCTGATTTGTTGAGAAGTAATGGATATATAAACATGAGTGGATAAAAATTAGTTTTGTTCCTCATATTTTTACACTCAAACATCAGGATTTTCCTCATATGTGTTTATCTTTAAGTTTACTGATAAGACGTGAACAGGTTTTACCTGTGGTTTTGATTATCTGGTGCACTTGAAGAAAAACATCCCTATACTTACTTACGTTTGTTGGCGCATTTTTGTGTAAGTTACATGAAAACTTTATCGGTTAGTATTGTTTCCGTTCTCAAACTGATTTGTTCGATTTCCATTTGATACGTGTTTATACTTCTAACCAAAATCCTTTATTTGAGCGCTTATGTTTGCTTCCAAAAGCCAACAGGGTCTTTTTACCAAGATTTAAACTATCCTATAACATCCTTGACATTCGATATTTTACTCCTTAGAACGGGAAAAATTTACTTCCTGGGAAGTGAATAAAGCTAATGTCTGGTCTTCTTACAAAACTGGGGAATGTTTGTTTACTGGTAATGTAACGGACTGGAGAAGGATAAATGAAAGACTAACACGGTACACGGTGTTGTAACATTGTTTTTTTTGGTTGTTTTTTTTGCGTATGATAATCGGCTGGAGAAGTGTTTGCCGACTAAACAAACCCCCTAAGCACCTGTGATATATGATATTTCTGTCGCACTCACTGTCATTTTAACCCAAAATAAACTTCAGTTTTATTAACTGGTGAATTTTAAGCATAAACAAATCGTAAGTAATAAAAAATGTCTATTAAGGATAAAACTTTAGATAATTATTACTTATTAAATCGCATTTAGGTCTATCCGTTTACCGAAATAAAGACTTAAAACTTAAGATACGTGTGATCTATTTTTAGGGGTATTTGGATGTATTGTCATGTGTGTTAACATTTCAATAACATCATAAGTATGTTAATCTTTCCCTAAATCCGAAAAGTGATGCCAGCTGATTTTTTGTTTTAATTGAACTCGTGACAACCACCAGGCGGCTTTATTCGTTTTCAGAAAATCACAGATATGATTTGGTTTTGATTAAGCACAAAGCTACACAATGGGCTATCTGTGCTGTACCCACAACGGGTATCGAAACCAGGTTTCTAGAGTTGTAAGTCCGCAGACATGCCGCCGATTTTCTTTTTCAAATTTACTGAGAGACAGATTTGAAGCTAATAAGTTTTTACTTTGAACATGAGGAGAAAAACATCCGAATATTTTGAACGGTAAAAATGAATAATAAATTCTGTATGTGTTCAATAAATACTCTGTAATCGTGCTTAATACTACAAGTATACGATCATTGTAAGAGTTCATGTGTTTTTTATTATTAATTTTAGGTAATTAAAGTTTAATTAGTGACATCGCAGTCAGTAGAAAAGAATCCTTATGTATGTTTTCTAATTCAGGTCCTTACCTATGTCAGTTTTGTTTAAACCTCTAAAACATGGAACGTTATAATGCAAACTAGAAGTCCAGTCTGTTGAATAAGCGATACACAAATCGTACTGCTTTTAGGTAGGTTTCATCACCATAAAGATGTTATTTATCGAACTGTTTCAAGTATTTCACTGTAATTTGATTATTAACTGCTGTAAACTAAATATTATTGTCAAATGAAACCTTTGCAAGTCGAAGCAAACGTTTGATAACTCTAGTAATATCCAGTTTAGATAATAATATTAATAATAA